GTAACAGTATTTGAATTTACATAAAAGATGGCTCTCCTGTTTGGAGAAATGAACTGATTGTTTTGACTCATCATAAATAGTATTAAATACATGTTATTTTAGACAATTTCTATTATCTTACAAAGAAAATCTGTAAAGGAGTTAAAAAGACCTTTAATAGAATTATTCAATGAAATGTCACCAAACGCGAGTTCCGTATGTCACGCATTTCCTTGGAAATATGTGTATACTTGTATGTCGAGCATTTTCTTCGAAATATTTTGTACCATTTTGGATGTTGACTATACTCGTGCTACAAATGTACAAAGTGGATTAAGAATATAACTATACAATTGAATAATAACTCTAGGGAAATTGGTAACCTGCCTGAATGTCAAGATAAGGCTGTCCCAAGGTTAAGAAGGAGCATTATACCCAGCTCATTTGAAAGAATAATTGAATTAACATCAGGATATCATCAAGTCGATACATGCTGATATCCATATGCTAAGTCAATGGAACCAAATAAAATAGTAAAACAAAAAAATGAAATGAAAATCAAAGGTTAAGGTCAAAATTATCCTTTGCAACATTCTTTATCATAATTTCACATTTTAAATTTTGTAAACGATGATTTTGCACCCAAGAATCTTTAATTATCAGATATGCACTGACTTGACCTGTACAAGGTCACTATGGCCTCGATAACACTTAGGATGCACCTGAACACTCTGCCATTATTAACGCCTTACTTATACCATATTATATGTCATAATGGTCATGAATGACCTGGGGGCAGTTTTATATAATTAGTATGACGGATCCTTTATCTATTAATGCTCGTTCACTAGAAGCAATTTTCACTAAAATTGTCACGTTTTTCATTTGCTGGGGACTTCCAGGAAGTCGTCTTTAAGGTGTGACTATATTGCCACATTTAGGTTGCATTACAACCTTGTCTTTATGGGTGTACTACTCTTCCCGTCATCCAATTCGGAATAACCATCCACAATTGAGCAAACAATTACACTTTCGCGTGTTGGGATGAATTTACAATCCCCGAGACTAAAATCATCGTTCCCCTTGCTGTGATTAAACAAAATGAAGCACAGAATTCCATTTAGCCAATCCCCGACATATTAAAACCTAATTTAACGTAGATATTCCCTTTTGGACGAGCCTTTGAATGGCGCTATTTTTTTAAAAATTGATCGGATAATCCTTTAAAGCTTTTAAAATTGAACCCTTCAAAGATTGTATCACGACTCACATACGTGGGTACGTGGGCATAAGGTACAAGTTTTTTTTATACAAAGCCTATATTTAATAAGTTATTATACAATGCAGAAGCCAGACCCTATTAATGTTACATAATTTTGCAGAGCAATTGACTTTAATCAGGACAATGACATCACGAAGAAATCCTGTATTTTGATTGGTCAGATTTCTCTGGCCTCTCAAAAGGTGACTGGCTTTACTGAATAATCATCTTCGTTCAGTCGGCTCCCGTCGGAACGCAGTGAAGAGCGAGCGTGCGAAGATGCTGAATAATACCATCCCTGGGCAGTCTAAATCGATTGATGGATTCATTTTATTTTGTTTTATTCAAGTACATCAAGTAATCTTTTGTAATATTGGATAAATAACGATGTATCTAAATTCCTCTGATGGATGATTGTCCCACACATGATTTGCAAATCGTTCAGTGAATGTTGGAAATTCAACCAATGGATGGCAGTGATAACAGGCAAACATCACAATTCTAGGTTGATTTCGGTTTAACACAGTGGAAAGAAGCAGATGTATTTAAAAAACACACGAAAACACGAGGACTACTTTCCAAGTAGTGTATTTTAAAATTTGTACAGACACCATCATGCAGAATTTAAGAGTTGTTCAGACACCATCATTTTTCGAAATAAAAAACAGTGACATCTCAAAAATATGCGTCCTCTGCTTGTAAATTTAGGTTCATTTGAAAGACTGAGATAGTATGCACAAGTGGGGCGGGATTTGAAGCATTTAACAAAGTATAAATATGACAATTATTCGTTTTTCTTGCTTAATCGAGAAAATCTTACGCCTTGTTCAGACACCATCAGTTGCGAAGGTCACGTGATGACAATCCCTACCGTGTAAATGAAACATTTAGAAAACTTTGAAAGGAAATGACGAAATATTTTTCCCAGACTAACAACATACAGTTTGGACGATTTGAAACAGATACCCACATAATACAGCGCATCATTGAAAAACGTACACCGTACGTACCAGAATTGAAAGAAACGTTTTGGGAGTACCATGCATTGAGCTGACGATAGATAAAGGTACCTGTTACACTGCTTGGTTAAGAATAACAAAAAGATGTGTCCACACTGGCTTTATCCAACCCTAACGATGCAATACTTTGCACTTAAGGTGCTTCGTTGCGCGTGCGCATTACCTACCTGCTCCGCCCACTTATTTATTAATATTCTTATTATTTTAATATAAATCAATGATCATAGCTTTTAAACTTTATTTCAACAATTCTGCAAAAAAACGACTAGTTCTTAATTCACGGGAAAATAAAAGCACATGAATGTGATCATTCCGTTGTCATGTCCATACATTTTTTCAATTACTACGATTTTTATATATTTCAGTCTTGTACATGTAATAGGTATTTCTGTTTATTTGTCATTTAACACATTGTGTACTTAAAAACTAATATTATGCCAAATCCTAGTTTTGTATGACTATACGATTATTATAGTTTACCGAACAGAGTTTGAGTAAGGATATATAGGAACTGTCCGTCCATCTGTCTATTTGTTCGTCTGTCCAGTGAATAACATAAATACCGATCATCCGATCCGACAGATCTCATATTGCAACTAGAACGATTACTTTATTTCAATAACAAATTGACATCATTGAGTATAATTTGAATACTCTTTTAAAACTTAATTTGATAATAATCATTCATTGAATGTCACAGCATTTTGGTCTCGTTCTAACAATTTGGTTACCCGGTTATCTATTTGGCTATCCAATGCCCCACTCAGCCATCTCGGAAAGCCACTAGAGTTATACAGTGAACCAATAGGGCCTTTTAAGTAACCCCTGGGGTCTTCTCGAATACTACGAGAGTATTGACTATGCATTTCCAGGCGACCAAATGTTGTCAATCTGCGAAAATATTGCTGAACGTTTGTTTTAGGTCAGGTATAATGGAGATAAAAGTATTTCTAATATATAGCTTCATTTTCGGATTAATGAGTGGACCCATTTTGTTCATTATAAAAATAAAGTTACCTTTTAATATCCTATTGACTTCCAATTCATAAAATATCTGCTACCAAAGCCAAAGGCCATTTTAAGGGCATGCGTTCATTCAAACGGGTCTTTCTTAATTCATCCGAGTAACCTGGTAATAACCGCGGTATTCAAACTGCCGCGAAATCTTAAGGCGTCCCCGCATATGGATAAATGACGAAACAAAGCTTCGCGAATAAAAGAGTTTCTACCTTTGAAATCTTGCTAATTCTCTTCTTTCATGAGGTTCTAATAAATGTGTAATTTTTACCCCTAATGCATTACTTTTCTTTCAATAACATATTTGAATTCAGTGAACACTTTTCTATAATAATAGCTTTGATTTACACAGTAATGTCATTTAAAGGACATGCGTTCATCAACATTAGTCTTTTTTAGTTCATCCATGGGCTTTCTTGAAAGCCCATGGTTCATCTGAGTAGCTAGGTAATAGCCGCGATATTTAAAACGCCGTGGAATCTAAAAGCCTCTCCGCATATGAATAAATTCACTATTAATCAATTCTTGGGAATAGAATCATAAGGTTAGCTAAAGAGGGGGGATATTGGAGTGAAACCCCCGGTGGATAATCCCAGAGTTCAAAGATGACATAATCTTACAACGTAAATCTGTTGTGATTACATACGTTCCTAATTAAGAAATATAGACCGAAAAGCAGGGGTTATATCGTCGAATACACCCCGCTGGGCTAGGCACACACGCTTTTGTGCCTAGCAACAATTCGAACATGAAAACTCACCAAATTGTTTCGAATATTCATCATGGTCCGCCATTACTACGACCCACCGTTATGACGTCACACATTACACGTATTAACTGGGTTATTGATCTCGAATATAACCCAGCTGAAGCATTGACTTTGTTTACAGTTTATAGGCGTGAATACAGTCATGTTCGAATGGTCAATATCGACTAGAAATATCGGCCTCAGAATGTTCAATATATATGTTCATTCCTGGCGGGTTTAAACTTTAAACGTTAAACCATATCATAGACACTTGTTCTACATCAAAACAAAGAAAGGTGTACGAAATATGCTGACATCGATTATAAGTGTTACATTCTCATAAACTAGAGCAAGAGACCCAGAAAACTGCTCTATTTTAAATAATTCAAACAATTAACAGCTGTACCAAGAAAGAAAATAAACAACGTAAAAATAATATATAATGACGACCAGCAGGTAAATGTCACTTGCTCCGGGTACACTACCCCTATGTTACTAAAGTCATCGCCAAATCATATATATTGTGGCATGTATCCTGTACCTTTATAGTGAAAATTTTGAACTTATCGTTTCATACTTTTGCCAAGTTTCATGTTGTACTATTGAAACATCTTCGAATGGGAGCATCATTGTCACTACTTATTGATCACCCTGGAAAAGTACATTCTCCGGTTATGAAAAATCAACGAAAATCATATCATGTAAGGTGCAGTCACAAAAGATTCATTAGTCATTTTCAATTCTATCGGAAATTTAGCTTTATCTTTCATCATCCTTGCAAAAATGTATACTTATATGAGAATGAAAAAGTCTGCTAAAAGGGCAAATAAAACATGCCCCTTTAAGTCGGACAGATCTTCTGCTGTCAACACGTGATATGGTATCCGAGTGTTTAAGTCGTAAAACATGAGATTTTTGCATTTGATAATCTTTTTATTTCCTTAAATGATCATAATATTGAGTTGGTGCTTGTCAATCAGGGCATCGTTGGTGTGGTTTTCATTTTAAGTTTCTTGCATTTCACCTTCCTACACTTCTTATTGTAACACACTGCCTTGCATCCACCGCAGTTGTTAGATCTGTTGAAATGATGTCGAATAGATTAGTTAAGCATGTATTTATGACGGACTTTCTTTAAAAATACATTGATATTTCAAATAATATGAAGGGATTCAACATATTTTAAGAGTTAATTGGAATTACTTACATGCACTGGCCCTTGTTAGGCTTCTTTACAAAACTACAGGGGTCTACTTTGCAGTCTTCAGGATTATCACACTCTACATAAGAATTTAAGAAACATAAGCATGTTCAATACCAATATATTGTTTTTTTAATACTATTCTACTGAAATGGAGCCATGGGTGTGAATTGGATGTTTGTATTATTTAAAATGTATCTTAGAGATACTGTACTCATAATACCCGATATCCACTTAATGGGACACTTTGCAGGGTTTACAATAAATTATTAAAAAACATTTTCTATCAGTCTATTTTTATATGTTAAGTTTTTAGCTATGCCGATGAAAGATAGCGAGGTTGTTTACATCAAATGATTCATTCATTTTGATTTTTGAATTTTCAACAATACGCCATATTTTAATAGACTAGATGCGAGTAGAAAAAATCTTGATTTACGTCATTAAATATTCAAAATTCGGCCAAAGCGATGTTATATTTGAAATCTACATGTAAAAGTACATCTAGAAATATGGTTTTAAAAATTGTTTATCAAGTTTGAAAATTTAATCTTTTTGAAAGTGTGACTTCTAGTTCGGGTTGATTCTCCATAGAGCCCATGTTACAAAATCGAAAAAAGTGAAATATCTTTTCTTGTATTGGTCAGATAACATTTTCATTTACTGGACATATTTTGATTTGCATAACTATTAGATACATAAGGGTAATATGAAAATTGAACCACTAAAACAGATGCAATTTAAGTTAAAGAGAACTTTCTACTATATCCGCCATGCTACTTGTATCTGACCCGAACGAGCCACCTGGTGGTGAAACTGGTAACTACCTACTCGCATCTGCGTTATTCAAGAGTGATTTAAAACATACACTGCATTGGCCTGTACCACTATGGATCTCTTAACTTCAAATGCTGTCTTTATGTATACTAAGTAATTTTTTCTCAGTTCAGTATTATCCCAAATTAAAGTTTGCATCATATTTGATTGAGTGTGTGAATAACATATCTCAAATAATATTCCATCCTTTTTTTCAAAAATATGCATATTACCTGTTTAACATATCAATTGCCAATTTTGCTATTTTGTTCTATTTCGTTAAGGCTGGTGCGATGTGTGATATTTTTACCTTATTGGCCAGTATACATGTACATGGAAGCTATATCACAGATCGAGTTACAATGGTGGGGAATACTTTTGACACTGAACCTCACGAAAAGATCTTTTTTTAGTTCAAAGAAAATTGATTTAAGTTAGCTCCATTAACTTAAACAACTATTGTGAACGCAACATTGCATTACAATTAGCTTAAAGCTTGATTGCTTTTTAAACAATAGGAATCGGGCATATCAACTGAAGTTTACAACAATCTATAGAGAACAATTACATGTTAGATAATAATGTACGTTGCTTACCGACTCTGCCGCAGTCAACATATCTCTTCCTCCCTAATTTGAACAGCGGATCCCAGCAGTTAGGGCAATAATCGGAGCTACGTGATGAAGAACAGAAATGCAATGATCGGGGCATTAAAAAATGTTGAAACATATTTATACTTTTTCCAAGATTTTCTAAAGCTGATAATCCACATATATCGGTCCTACTTTTACAGTGGATCCCAGAAGTTTGGGAAATAAAAGGAACGTAATGTTTAAAGTACCTACAACTTTTGTTTATTTTTTTTTCTTCTTTTAACCGGCAAGTGTTTGTTTTTACCATGGCAAGTAATTAGCAACACAAACACCTCATGGTGGAGGAAGCTTCTTCTGTGGTTTATAAATGTCAACTTATTGTAGGATTGCATCAAATCTTTCAATTTGAACTCCCAGGGATGTACAATGCACATAAAAAAGAAAAAACGTACTTAAATTCAAAGGTATACGCCTATATAGGTTTAAGAAGAGAATATATGACTTACACACATTTAGCACGGGGGCAAGCAGGGCAGTCCGGGCGAACCCTTTTGTCACATGGATCAATCACACATGTTCTGATCTCATCTGGGCATTTCTCGGGTGGTTTATAACCTATTTAAAAATACTGTAAATGGTTATGATTTCATATTGAGCTCAAACAGTCGAAATGCTATGAAATAGTAACGCTATTAAAAAGTCTGAATTTCGGAAATTCATTACGGGAGTGTTAGCTACAATCATTTAGTATCAAAGAAAAGTGTCTATGGGAATTCATTTAAATTAAGCAAACGACGATACTTTCATGAGATCTCTTTTCGGGAATAAGGCCTGTATGCATAAAAAAAAGTATTATTCGGCGAAGTGTCGACTCATTCTACTTAATTTTCATCATGGGCTTCTGTGTTGTCAAAGGAGTTGTTGTTATAACATCTGTTTGATCTAAAAAACAGATACAAGCTTGTTCTATAGGGGTTGAAGGCAGAATCAGATTTAGCAAGTATTTATCATTATCGCCATCATGACCTGACGAATATTGTTTCAATTTTATCATTCCTTTTCATGTCCATTTTCTAGAAAATACCCAAAGTATAAATTTTATTTGAGTAAAACTAAACATTTTTTCCAAGAACAGATTTGTTTGTCTATAAAAAAATACCCGGGAAATAATATAAACATTTTGTCCCAGTTTTGCACTTTAAATTTTAAATAACCTAATGAATTGATAACATATTACGGATCTTTTTGGAGCATAGTTGAGCTTGTAAGGAATCCGTAGGTCAATTGTATATATTGCTTGCAATTTTGTTACCCCTGTGGATCTGATTCTGCCTTTAACATTAGCAATGGCGTATTGAAGACATCCCAACACGCAGGGGTTCATTTAATGTTTTACTGGTAACACCAGAATAAAGGTATCTTTAAAATGATCAATGAATCTTCATGTATCGATAACTTGTTTTTCATGCAGAGAGGATGCTGTTCTTGACACCTTGTATTATTTTTGTTTATTTGGTACCAAAGTGTAGACTTACTCGTCATAGTTTCTTCTGTTGTCATCACAGCTTCTTTGTGTTCTACAGTCCAAGGTTGGTTGTATGAACATTTAATTAAAACCCATGTTCTCATTGACTATTTAACAGTAAAACTATTCATCAGATATCCTACGATAATGTCAATCAGTGTTCTGTCCAAGTCATATAAGGACCTCTTCCCACTTAAAGTTAAAAAAATGAATGCTTTGGTTTAGTTTAGCTAACCAAGCCCTAGTGGCCCCTCGCCCTCCCACTACAACACGTGTATGAGAAAGTGGGTAGAGGGAAGGGTCACAGAAGCTTAAAGCTAGAATAACTTGAACCAGCTGTAATGACCCTTGGGCACGTCTGTCTGGGAACCCGGGACCTTCCGCTCGCGAGGCAGATGCTCTACAGATTCGGCCATTAAGACTAGCCACTACAGCCAAGACTGTAGTAGCGACTTGCTGTCGAAGGTCATTGCAGAGCCTTATATTCGAGGCATTGAAAGATCAGAAAAACCAAAGAGGTCTTGCTATGGCAGGTTTGATGCTTTAAAACAAAGAATGGGAATTATACCTGGAACAACATGTATCTTGATTCGCATACCACCTATTTCACAATGCGAGTAAATGCCACATGCAAAATAATATGTCTTGAGGCTGCTCATTGTATAAACTTTGGGGCTTTCCTCGAAATTGCGATTTGTCGTGTCACATCCATCATACGCAGCCTCATCTGGTAGTTTGTCTACGTTATGACCAGACGAAAACTCAAATGTAATCGTTGAACCTTAATAATATAAAACAAATCAATAATTATAACCGATGAATTAATGTATGTGTGTGTACACAGATGACTCGTATCTATTTGAGTTGCTGCTTATCATTGTTCAACACAATGTTCAATAATAGAGCAATTTGACATTATAAGATAGTAGCCTGGCCAGAACAAGTCATGCCTCTCTATTTTCTCAATAACTTTCTCAATTTTGAATATTTTTTCATGAAATTTTCACAGAATAAACTTTAAAGAATTCCTAACATACAAATTTTTTATATGGTAAATGCCTCATTATTTTCATTGTTACAACCTTTTAAAAAATAATGTCATATTGAGAAAGTTATTGAGAAAATAGAGAGGCATGACTTGTTCTGGCCAGGCTACTATATGTCCAGTAGCGGATCCAGAAATTCACAAGGGGGGGGGGGCGCAAATTTTGAGTCTGCCCACTCAAGGAGGAGGGCGCCCCCCCCCCCCCGATCCGCCACTGATGTTTTGCGAAATATCATATGCACCATTATGAGCATGTAACGTATGTAGCGTTCCTTTTAACTGACAATACAAGCTAATGACAATACAATCTCAATTTTAATTGGCATTTAGGTGATATAGAATAGGTGGTGGTATCACCTTGAGTAACACAAAGTGCCTCATATTCTTTCTTTCCATCACTCCTGTATTTCCAAGTCACCGTTGAATTACCTCTTACAGACGAACACGCTAAAATAAAAATACAATGTTAGATTTAGCAACAACTGCAACCTTAAATAAGAAAGGCCAGGCACAAGATAAACCTTGTGTGTTGCTATTTCTAACTATATTTGAACCCATTCTAATCCAATTTTAGGGGAAGGGTTATTTCGAGAGTTAAACCAAATAACTAAACCTAATTTGATAGAAATGGCCATTCAGCCACATTGCTTTAAAATAGGTGTTTTTATGTAATCGAAAATAGCGGAATTTAAACGAACGTATAATCATTATTCTATGCACGTTCAAAAAAAACTAAAATAAAATGTTTTGATGATATTCCAGTATGTTTTATTTATACGAGTTGTCAACATTAATTGAGATAATTTTATTTTCCTCAAAGGTAGATTTTTTAATACAATAAGTGTGTGTTTGCCAAGTGGTTTTGTCCATAAAACTGAAGTGTAAACAAAAAAGGTTTTGTACCTTTATTAATGTGTACATGGGCGAGGGGTGATTCAAAAATCTTGGAGGCCCTGCCCTAATTTTGTCGGTTTTTGATCAAATTACTAAAACGTTCAGATTATAAAGACCCTAACTACAAGGGCCGTTCGAAAAGTTTTGCACGAAAGCTTCTCAAGAGATGAGATTTTATCGTTTTTACATGAAATTTGATACAGATATAATATTACCCTCCTTACAAGCTTAAATAAAATTTCAGGACCATAAGCAATGTACTTCCTGAGATACAATGACTTTAAAATTTGAACCAATGGGCCCATGGTCCTAATAACCTAATTAAATTGAATTGATTTTGTGAATGCCTTGATAAAAAGTTGCGGTCAATCTTTGTTCTTTCAGCTGTTAATCAGGTTATGTTATAACTAATTTATATTTAATCTAAATATAAAGTATTTATATGTAGTCTTCCTTTTTTAGTAATGCATTATACTTTAGCATTATGCCCAGTCCATCAGTAAATGTTTGAACCACCCCACCTATAGGATGTTGAGCCTTTTCATAACTACAGCTACCCTCAGTAAATTTTACCCTCCCTTGTAATTCCATCATGTAATACTTCGCAATTCCTATTGTAGTCATTATATGCAATATATATTAATGCATGAATGTATCTCACTTGTGTACTACTGTTTCCTCTTTCTTATTCATGTATTCGATCAATGTTTTCTGCTTCAATTTTATTATTTCGAGCCATACTCTCCATTATTTGACAAATTCATGAGAACTTTGGTAACGTCATAGCTCATGTGATTTTTTCAAGATGTTTGACGAGTATATTTACGGTCATTTTTGGCATGATTAAAGAAAAGAAGATGGGAAAATATTGATATAAGATTCACTTTTGCCATGAGAACAAAACTAGATATTGTTTAAATCTAAGTTGACAGTTTATGTAAGAAAATATAGCATGATTAGTAATACAGTTCTTTATATATTACTACTTTTCTTTTTACAAAATGATATGGACCATTGCGTCATCGCCTTGGTTACTATAGCAACCATAGAATGCTTGACAGTGCAAGGGAATAAGATAGGGGCACATAAATACCAACTATGAACAAGATCGGTTCATTATTTTTATAATTTATGTTCAAATTCGTGGAAAATATGTTGAACAGTAGGCCTAAAGATGTGAAGATGGTTATAGCAGATGAAAAAAATCGGAAATTCTCTTTTATCATGACTGGTGTTAGGTTTTGCCCCTGCATCTAAAGTAGTTGCCATATTATCAGTTGTGACGTGATTTGGGTTTTTAAATACCGTTCAGGGTGGCAGGGTCCCAAAATTAAAAATATTGAGAAAAGTACCATAAATAAGGTATTTTATTGGCGAAACTTATAATAGATTACAAAGTTGTTTAGATGTTAATTTTTATTATCTGAAAGTTTCATGAAATTATATTAAAAAATAGCAAAGTTAGAGCGGAGGTCCAAAACTTTTAAATGTTCCCTCGTATTAATATTAATTTTCAAATATTTACAGTCTGAAATAATTAAAATAAACTTAACCGGTGGTTGAAATTAGATCACTGACACGTGCAAGACGGTCCCTCATTTGTACAATATGCCACCTGTGTGACTTCAGTAATTTAACACAGATAACCATTTTATTACATTCCGGAGAAAGAAACACATGTATCTAGCAAAGTACCCGATTGTTGAAGTTGTGTTATGATTTTCAAGAATTAAGAAAATTCAAAGCATCGATTTGTGTTTACTTCAGGTAGATTTTGACATGATGAAGTGAATTCAAAATGAATTCAATCGTAAACAATCCATTTCCGATTTTAACCTACCTTGTTTAAGATTTATCAAACTGTCAAATGTATCTGTTTTACTCACATATTGTTCCATTGTGCTCCCTTAAATGTCTTCTGGCTTCAGCTAGATGAACACCAGAGAATATGAGCAGCAATGCTACATAAAGAACCCTCATCTTATAATGACTATTCAGAACAAGTCATATACGATCAGCTCTCCGCGACTGAATTGTTTCGAATTCTAAAATGTTGAAAACACATTGACAACAATATACACACTACCTCTCATACATTTGAAAACACGGCTTCGGTGTGATTATGATAATCAACGTCAGTTCATATTAAGATTCTGTGATTTTGGTGGTATTAGCCCCTGGTTTTTGAGAGAATAGATTACTTGTCAAATTAGACAAACACAATCAAAATAGACATATTTATTAAATTTTTATAAATTTGCAATGATGAATGAGAATCATAATTCCATCTACTTTGCCAACAATAACCGACTCGGGGAATACAGTCATGATTAAAAGCTTTGGAGTGACAAATCAAAGATCAGTGCAGCTTTTTGCGATTATGATATATAAAAATAACAGGCTGAAATGGGTTAAGATATTGATTGAGGAGAGTGTATGTTTAAAGCGTGATACTATGGAATTCAGGTTATGATTAAGCAAAACAAAAAATAACTGTACTGATCAAATAATAAACGTCATTAACATATGTAATTTGTTGTGATGTGGTAAAGTTTACACAGCCAATGATTTTGTTTGCAATTCGTAAAGATATGTATGGATCTAGAAAATTGCATATCATGCATTTTATCATGATAGTTGATTTATGAGGTTGTATGTATTTATTATTTTTTCATTATTATTTTATATATTAGATCTTACAATTTAAATTAATAACTGATATTGATTTCAATTAAACCTGTGAAAACATTAAGTATTAGAAGTCATCTTATTGACATGTTAACCAGTCGGTATAATTTGAAAAGCACATGGCCCATATAAACATATAAATAGAAATAATAGTCCATGGTATGGCTCATAGATATTACAAATCCGTGGCACCATATATGCATAACGACATTTGAACCGATATTTAGGGAGGGGCATATGTCCTTATGCTTTTAAAATGCCATTTGGTAAAAAATATTAAGGCTTTCGGGTCGCATTATGTCTGTCATCACAAGAGGTCAAAAAACGTGAAACTTTTCATGCGCATTTTAGTGCATTTTATGAGACTCAAATTGTAAATCGAAACTTATATATAATTTAAAGGATTAGGATTACATAGAAATATAATACTATTTTAACGTAAATGTCATTTTTCAATTAGTGCATTGCACTAGGGTACTTTTCAACGTTTTATTATTTAGAAAAAAATAAGACAGAGCAGATGTGACCAAATTATGCGAAAAATTCAGAAAATCTATAATTAGTAACATATTAGTTTTGTACTTATAGAAACAATATATTCACGGAAATATTTCTTGCGTTTTCAAGGGTCAAACAACGGATTATTGTTAATGATATTCAAAACGTAATCAAATAAAAATATAAAGAATGTATCATTTGAATAATTAATCTAATTTTGGTATTGGAATGTTTACATTTTTAAACTAGATGATTTGCATCGAGGAATAAAGAAGGCGCAATCAAATGCGTCGCAAATATCATAGTGTCACAATGCTGTGCTCCCACAATAAAATAACCATGCAATGTTGTAAGAAAGTAAACATTGAATGCATTATAATATATTTCAGTTTTAATTATCGATTGTTTTATAAATGAGAACGCCAGAATGATTGATTAAGAAACCAGAAATCAACTTTCTCGGTTGACGAGTGACTATATTCAGGACGATTTGATGCAGTAGAGCAAGATTTGTGAAATTCAAGATAGTAATTTAGTTTTTTGAACTGTCCCTTGCGAAGACAAGATTTAGTTTTTGTTTCGATCATAACTTGACAAATGTTCGTTCTATTCTAAATGTAAATTTATAAGTGAGAGCCATACTGTCATTAATAAGAACCAGAAACCAACCTTCGTGATGGATGAGTGACACCGTTAGAGACGATTTCATTCAGCAGGGCGAGATTGTGAATTATACGAAATTAAAGGTACTCATTTATATTTTATTTCATTGACTATCTATATTTTATCATCTGTGTTCACGATATGTATCGTTGTTCCAAGGTGTGACCCTATCAATCATATCAACTCACCCATCGCGTGCAAAGTCCCGATTGGAATTGGGAGAAATTTATAGTGTTGCACACATCCAATCTTTCAGACGAGCCTCCGATATTTAAAGACGACATCGAATCATTTTTTGTAAGACCGGTTCTCTCAATTTTTTCAGCAATCCAACATCTCTCGTTTCCGATCTTTCCATTCGAGTTTTAGGAAGCCATACTTCATTTTATAATTTGTAACTTTTTATCAAATCAGGCATTATTCATTTGTGCACAAACTCTATGTCGCCAAAGCCATGCGAATTGCACTTTTACGAATTGTTGTGAGTGTTGTAAGATACATTTTCCTTTCACGTTGTATATTGATTTGGGATAGTTGGATTTTCTTTCCATTTGGCAATGAGATCTTAGACATTTCATTTTCCTGCTATGTTTTGTCATTTTTGGTCTTTCGCATTTGGCACTTGTGCGTTCATATTCATGACATTTTGGATAGAATTTGGGACAAAATGGCTACTCCCAGGCTATATCTCTTTTGTCTTTATATCGGGTATTGCTAGAAAAACTAGTTTCTGGGTGAAATTATATGTCACATATGAAGGAGGTAATTTAATTTATACTTGAATACCATGTATTACTCATTTCTGAGTAAATTCTATGCTGAAGAAGTAGTGAAGAAGTTCAATATCATTGTTAATGTTTTAAGTGCAGTGGTAGTCATTGTCCCTGGGTCGTTGCTAATTGTGAGTACTATCCATACACTTTATTTTAGGGGAGTACAAGTTTCTTTTAACTTCATTCTATATTCTGTATAATCACTGCTACCCACTAGTTACACAGACGTATCGTCAGTATATCATGGCGGAACTACTTCCGGGACTAGGTTTCGGTAAGATTTTTTTATTTCCCGATTTACACCTACTTATAAGTCACGTTGTGGATAATAATTTGCCTCGAAGTTAAGGAAGATATTCTTGTTTGAGAATGTGTCGATGGTTTTAGGTTTTATATGTTAACAAAGGCACAATTCAGGTATTTAGTCCCTCGCTTTTGTTACACTGACGAACGACCAATATCAGTGTAATATTGGCAATATTAATGCCGGTCGTCGGTGTAACAAAAGCGAGGGACTAAATCTGTGAAATGCGTCTTCGTTAACATACCAAACCTAAAACCATCGACACATTCTCAAACTAGATTATCTCCCATAACTTCGAGCCAAATTATAATCCACATCGTGACTTATAAGTAGATGTAAATCGAGAAATAAAAATATCTTACCAAATTCAAATCCCGGAAGTAGTTCAGCCATGATACACTGACGATACGTCTGTGTAACTAGGTGGGTAGTAGTGATAATATTTGAAATTTTATAAAAGGTATTCCTTTCAAATAGTGCACTCTGTGATGCTATATTGTTTTTTTTATGTGAGGCGCATCCTATAACGTTTGATTAATCCAAGTTTTTATGTGCACGCGGTCCTAACTTCGACCGTTAATTTGAATTTTTGACCTACCGGATGTTTGAAAATCAAGGATTATGAGTCTCATTCTGGACCGTTTTTCTTCAAACTTGTTCCATTCAAAGCATAACAAAAATCCCTTTCTGATGGTACATTATTCTCTTAATAAGAGACCCTACTTCCAGCGGCATTTTGGTCCCCAGCTGTAAGAAGGCCTTCCGACAGCTGGGGACCAAAACGCTGCGTGAACGAGGGACTCTTTACAATCAAGTAATGCACCGACAGAAAGGCAATTTTGTTTTGCTTTTAATGGTATAAGTTTGAAGAAAAACGGTGCAGTATGAGACTCGCAATCCTTGATTTTCAAGCACCTGGTAGGTCAAAAATTCAAATTAACGGTCGAAGTTAGTACCGCGTGATGTGGAGTATGAGTTTTTTTGAGTGCATTTTATACAGTACCACATAATAAGCGAGGAATATACTATACTGAAGAAGTTGTTATATCAGTTACGATTTATATGTGAGGTATTCGTGTTTGTGAGTATATTCATGAGGCTATTATGTTTTTGATTTTTCATGTGAGATGTTACTTTTTTGCGAATGCATTATGTTAGGCAATATTACCTGTGATTTATAAACGAATTATTAGTTCTATATAAGAGCTTTCATGAGAGGATTGGTTTATGCGAGTGAATCCAAATGCTATAGTCACTGATTTTTATTTGAGGTATTTTGTTTTGTTTAATGAACAGTGTTCCTTTTTGTAAAATAATTTCTGGATTTTGCGACCGTTTAAGTTTATGTACTCGAGATGCTGAAGGATGTGGGGATTATTTTAGGCATTGTCAATTAAATTGCTAAAACTGAAGGCTTTAGGTTCGCAGTGGGATGCTGACCCTTTTAAACGTTAAACGAATTATAATATCTATCTCAAAGCATTAAGACCAAATTCTAAATATTGTATATCTAATATACTATTAGTATTGTTATGAGTATTGGCTCACAATTTGTATTTTTATTCAATTTGTGTTGTAATGACTCGAGTATAATGAGGTGCTACTTGGTGTAATGGTCTGGGAATGATGTTTATACTTAGCTCGTGGGTCGGGAGGTGTTGATAGACGTTTGACTTTGGGATTGCTAGTGTTTCTTATGTCACCACCAAGAGTGGTATGACATATTGTTATTTAGTGGAATTACACCTATTTCATGGCTAAAGGCGTTTTCAAGGCGTTTTGGGTAACGTAGGCTAGAAAACCGCAATCCTGATTACACCAGAATTTTAAAAGCGCCTTGAAGACAACTTTTCGTGATTACACTTGATTTTTCTAAAGCGCTTTTAGACTGATTTAAGACAAAAATTTGCCATCAACCATCGCATTTGCATCAAAATCTGCTATTTAGATATACACTTTCAACCGTAGCGCCATCTCTGGAGATTCAAAATGATCCGATACTGTATGTTCCTTTTTTTCTTAAATCGTATTCAATCTACCTCTGGCGTTAACAAATATGTGCTAAAGAAAGCATGGAAAACAATGCACAAGCGCGCAAAGAGAGAAGCTCGGTCGTTAGGAGAGATCCAAGAGAGATCCAGTAAAATGAAGATGTACA